CGTCGCCACGCTGCGCCTTGTCCTCGACCGCTTTGTCGAGCACGGCCTGAGTGGCCCAAGAAAAGGGGATGGCCGGGTCAAAATTGGTACAAAACCGTCTCGGCACGCCCATGCGGGCATCCGCCGGGACAGTCGCCAGTCGCCCCACGTACTCGTCGGCGACTCTCGGCACCGGCCTGCGCACCTCGCCTGCCGCAGCAACTGGCCATCGCCGCATACCTCCCTGCCGCTCGCTAGCACCTCTCATGACGACCAAGACGAGGGTCATGACACACGCTGCCGCCACCGCCATGGCCAGGACCCGCCTGAGCATGCCGCGTCAGTACAGGGGCTGGGGGTCGAGAGAGCAGGGTGCTCACCTGCGGATACTAAGCAGACGGAGTGGGTGGCCATCGCCATAACCATCGCCTTCGCCAATGATCGTTCAATGGGTGGCCCATTCAATTGATCGTCCGCCATCCATGGCAATCGCCCATGCTGATCGGCAATCGCCCATGCTAACCGTCCGCCATCCATGGCAATCGCCCATGCTAACCGTCCGCCATCCATGGCAATCGCCCATGCTAACCGTCCGCCATCCATGGCAATCGTCCATGCTAACCGTCCGCCATCCATGGCAATCGCCCATGCTAACCGTCCGCCATCCATGGCAATCGCCCATGCTAACCGTCCGCCATCCATGGCAATCGCCCATGCTAACCGTCCGCCATCCATGGCAATCGCCCATGCTAACCGTCCGCCATCCATGGCAATCGCCCATGCTAACCGTCCGCCATCCATGGCAATCGCCCATGCTAACCGTCCGCCATCCATGGCAATCGCCCATGCTAACCGTCCGCCATCCATGGCAATCGCCCATGCTGATCGTCCGCCAGCACCCATACACCTCCCCTTACAGTCGTCCGCTCCTCCGCTCGCCATCGTCCGTCTCCGCCCATTCCTTCCTTCGATCAAACTCTCCGCATCGCCGAACACCTGACATCAACCTCGCCGCAGCCGACCGACATTGCGCACGGTCTCTCACACGAAGCAAGCAGACGACGGGCATGTCACTTGGTACAGAGCTCGCGGCGGCTAATGCACAGCTCCCTGGTGGTTTTTCGGCAGACGTCGAGCTAGCTGCGAGTAGCAATGGCCAAGGTGGTAGCCGGCCGATCTGGACGGGGCGGGGCAAGCCGGCGAGTCGGCGTCCCGGCCGACGTGCGACTCGTCCGCACCGACAAGATGCGCACGACGGCGATGTGGGCAAGACTGCGCAGATGACCTCGACGGAGCACCTCGGCCGGGCGGCGAACGCCTTCCGCATGCTCTCCTCGTCCATGGCCGCTTATCTCTCGCCCGACGACGTCGAGATCATCAACTCGATGGCCGGGGGCGCCGCAGGCATCATGCCTCTGCCTCCGCCGCCGGCGCTGCCTGACATTGCCTCGGGCATGCCGTCTATTGTTATCAGGCGTGAGGCACTAGACGCTGCCGTGGCCGAAGCGGCCGCCAAGGCCGACGCCGCAGAGCGCTCGGTCGAGACCATCGTCGCTGAGATCGATGCTTCTGAGCGCGACCATGCGCTGCGGCTGGAGGCGCTAGTCGCACTCCGAGCCGCTGCCTATGCCGCCATGACCTCTTCTGGCGCCCGATACTCGGCGCGGGTCTGGCCAGCTTCGATCGACACTCTTTTCGGCAACGTCGACGCTCTGGCTGCCGCCTCGTCCGACCTTGTCGCCGCCCTCGACGCCGCACGTTCGCATTCACCCGCGGCTCGCCTCGAGGCCATCTGTGCCGCTCTGGCGGCCGCCGCCGCGCCCATTGCCCGCGCCTACGGCGAGTACCTTGTCGATGCCCACGCTCGAATCAAGCTTCTCCGTCTTCTCTCGGCGTCCGAAGCCAACGATCCCACCCTCCGCGACGGCCTGGCCGCGCTGGTCTCCGCCGGCCGCGCCGACGACGCCTGGGCCGCAAGCGGCCGCTTTGCTCCGCTTGCCAGCCTTCCGCTCGAGGCCCTCATCTCAAGCGTAGCGCAGCGGCCCGGAAAGTACAACGTACTGATGACGACCGTACTGGCCACGCTCGACGCCGTCGAGCCCGAGACCAAGGCCAAGCTTGATCTGCGGTCGATGAACATCCGCGCCGCGGCCTCGGCTGCCGGCGAACTTGCTGCGAGCACTCAGGCCGAGCCGCCTGAGATCAGCTCGGGCATCCAGGCGAATGACCCGGGTGGGCTCTCGGTTGCCATGCTCGATGCCGCGCGGCTCTTCCGGGTCTACGCCGCCGACATGAAGTCCCTCCGCAAGGCTGCGGAGAAGCACTCCAAGTGGCGGCTCGTCGGCCGCGGCAAGGCCTCGCGCTCCGCCGCTGCCCTCAACGCCATCTACGGCTCGGCAGAGACCGCGCGGCGACTGACCTCACTCGTCATCGCCCGTCTCGCCGCCGCGTCGCTCAACCCGGGCGCGTACAATGTTCTCCAGGTCGACGCCGTGTACGGCGATGCGCCGCTCACATGTGTCCTCTTCTCCACCCACCTCATCTTCACCTTTCCGCTTGCCAATGACGCGGCCCAAGCACTCCCACAAGCCGCGCCAGCCTTTGTCTTTGACCTTGCCGACCCGTCGTTTGCCATCACGCCCGTTGATGGCCACGCCGACCGCCTCGCCGTCTCGGACTCGGCGCTCGGCGCCTTTACGCTCTTCTTCCCCGCCCCGCGCGACGCATCCATCCTTCACGCCCGCTGCCTCGCGTTTCATCTCTTTGAGCTGCAACTCGCCGCCGTCCGCGCATCCCGTGCAGTCGCCGCCTCCATCGCAGCCCTCCCTCCCGGCCCGGCCGCCGATGCGGTCGAGGCTAACATCGCCCGCGCCACCCTCGGCCTCACCGCCTTTGCCGACGACACCGAGGCCGAAGACTTTGCCGACGCCATCACCATCGCTCTCGGCCACTCGGCCCCCCTCACATTGCCCTCTCTCCTTGTTTGCCCTGACTGTGGCATCGAGGCCAAGTTCTGTCCCGCCTGCGGCGCTGCCCGGCCCAGCCGCTCTCCCATGCCATGATCGGTCGGCGCAAGCGATGCTCTGCTCTTCTTTAGCCTCAGAAAAACGCCTTGCCCAGCCCACGGTACGAAGGAACAGCCACGAGATCGGCGCCAAACTCGGCGAGGTAGACCACGCTGAACCGCTCCATGATCTCACCCGACTTGGCTGGCCGTACCCAGACCATGTCGCCGATGCGAAGCGAGACGCCAGCTGGCAGCGCGATCGGCGTCTGCACCTCGCCCCAACCCTCGGCGGGAGTCACAGCCGCGCCTGGCGGGAGGCCCACAAGCACTGGCGCCTTGTCCTCTCCGATGGCGCCCGAAGCCACAAATCCACCCGACTGAACCACCACGTGCCGCTCGTCCGGCGTCCGGGTCACCCGCAGCGCGATGGCGACCGCCGGCGAGCACAGCCGCGCGGCATAGCCGTCAAACAAATGGCCGCAGAGCAGGCCCGAGCCCATGGTCACCTCGGTTGCGGCGAGATCGGCCACAGCAGAGCAGAACGAGCCCGTCCCGCCGGTGTTAAAGATGAGCGGAATGCCCGATGCGCTCATCCGCGGGCGGACTGCCAGGAGCTCGCCGAGTTCAGCCCTTGCACTAGCGAGCTTCCACCTCGCCACGGCCTGCATGCCAGCGACGAGCATGTTGTACGCCCGCGATGCAAACGGCGATGCGTCCGGCACGCCCGCCACGTGCGCCTCGTACGCCATCAGGCCGGTAAACTCGAGGCCGCGAGCGGCGTCGATGGCGGCCACCACTCGGGCGACGTCAGCCACCGACCGCAGCGGCGACCTACGGACGCCGACATGGAGCCAGGCTGCGGCTTCGAGCGGACGCAGGGCAACGTCGACGTCGACAACCACGGGCACAACAAGCTTGGGGCCTTCTCCGGCTGCTCGGCCTCGTACGCGTCGAGCCAGTCGGACATGGCCGTCACGTGCGCCAGCGAGTCGACCATGAGCCGGACGATCCTGCCGGCGCCGACGAGACGGACAACGTGCCGCATGTCAGACACAAGGGAGATCGGGTACGCCACAAGCACGTCATTCACGCCGAGATCGGCCAGGCGAGAGGCGACTGGCGAGTCGAGGAGAAGCCACGCAGCCTCACTGGCAGAGAAGCACATCAGCGAGGTGAACGCGGTCGGCGCGAGCTCGATGGCCCGCGCAATGAGGCCCGGGACCCGGAGAGACTTGGTAGCGAGGCGAATGGTCTTGTTCCCGCGACTTGCCGCCGACGCGTACGATGCCACGTTGGCATCAAAGGCCGTGACGTCCACAACTGCCGCAGGCGTCGTCGCGCCCATCGACTCGAGCGCCGCTCCCGCCGCATCAATCGCTCTGGGCGCCGCAGCTCCTCTGCCTCGACTGCTCCTTGCCGCTGCCCAGCTCCACGCCACCATCAGCACCACTGCTGCTCCGCCGAGAGCCAGCCACCGCGTCGAGAGCAGATCAACGCCGTCCATCCATTCTCCCACCGCCAGCACCTCGCCCAAGAGCGCCTCCATCGCCGATGAAAAATGCAATTACTATCGTCGAGAGAAGTGATGCGCCGACCGGTTCCTCGCCACGTGCCCCCCTTTCCCAACCCATCCCGTCTGGGGAAGCAGCAGCCATCTCTTCACCCCCCACCCCCCCACCCCATCGCTACCCCACCCATCACTCGCACTGCCTCTGCCCACTGCCCCCC